CTCCGCGGGGGAGAGCCTGGCAAGGCTCCTCCCGCCGCGGGAGAGCAGAGCAAGAAATCCGCCGAAACCTCTTGGTCAAGATGGGCTCCAGCCAGCCCGGGTGTGCTTTGCTCGCCCCCCACCCCGCTTATACTCCTGTGGACTGGGGGTGCCTGCCTGGGCTGCCTTTGGAGGCCTGCCGCTGGTCGCGGACTCAGCCGCGGTTGTCCCCTCGCCTCTTTGACAACGGATCTGACCTCCCTCCCTCGGGGTGGCAAGAGAAAGGCCCTTCGGGGGCCAGACTCGGCAGCGGGTACGGGGAAACACACGCAGGGCTTCAGATACAGTCAGCACGGACAGCCCGGCTAAAGTCACTCCTGGTTGCTTCCTTGAGTGAGAACTTGGATCTCAGCATAGATTCAGGTTTCATTGTGGTTGAAGAGACCCTCTGGGCCTCCTGCTTGGATGTGGTTAGGCAGGTCCACTTTTCTGCTCTTGTTCCTCCTCCTTCTTACTATCATCCTCTGAATGTGTCTTGTCTTTGCCTTCTTCTGGGATGATTTTCATCCAAGAGTCCACAGTCTGAAGAAGATCATCTGGGCCTGCAGTTGGGATAGGGGTAGGCAGGGTTCTTTTTCCCTTTTTCTGGAATACTTTCCTCAGCCTTATAGAATGTGGAGGATCGGTGAAAGAATGTGGAAGAAACTGGCCGCTTCTTTACCCAGTAAAGGATGTCTTGGGTCTAGCCTACAAATCAAAGCGTTTAGAAGCTAAATCCGTCTTCCTAATCACCCTGGTGGGAATGATGATAAAGGTGCAGTCTTAACATTTCATCAGGTGTACCTTTGTGTAAGAGTGCACGGAAGGTTTTGGGGAAACAAAAGCTGGATTCCATTTGTCAGTCCTCTCAAGAAGGAGTCGGTTTTTCAGAGACTCCAGGAGGCACTGTTGTGCCATAACAGAAAGTGACAGTAAGTAAATTTACTTACTCCCTGCATTTGTATCCCACCTTAGTCCAGTGAGTCTCAGCAGCTTGCATGATAGGTTATATAGAAAAATATGAAACATCCACAGTATGATTAAAAATGCTAGTTAAATCACTATCAAAAACTTCAGCCCAAAATACACTATATAAAAGGAAACAAAGAAATAAAAGATGGTGCAGTGCATGGACTCGGTTAAGGACTGTCTGAAATAATTCTGTTTTTAACATCTTCCTGAAAACCAACGGGGGGGGCGGGCAAAGTACAGTTGCAAAAAGGACATTTGCAGGAAGGATGGTGGCTGGAGCAGCTCCTTGCAACAAAGTTCCACTGAACCAGCAGAAATCCCAGACAGTGGAGTCTGTCCTTCATGGGGAATTCTTCCAGTTTAGCTCATTTCCAACCCCATTTAGGTAAAGAGTTGCGATGTTAGTTTATTAGATATTTTAGGAGACACTGTAGAACCCTTTACTTTTATTAACCTGGCTCTTCTGAGGAATTATTATTATTTAGCGTATGGCATACAATGCCAGGGAGTCTACAATGTTTTTTACACACGGTAGATGTTCTGGCACCAGCAATTGCTAGTTTATTTATTGCACTGAGGAATGCATGCAGAAAACTAGGGGAACTGGTGGAGAGTTAAGAAAAAAGAGAGGCACTGGACACTTGGACAAAGAAAAAAAAGGCTTTGGATGTAGAATAAGAAAAAGCTGGTAGCCTTTGAAATAATTATTCTGCAATTAAGCCCTTGGGAGTTTTGGCTAAGGTGTTTGTAAAAAGAGATCACTTTTATGATCTGTTCATACAGCGTTGTTAAATAAAACTTCAATTGTTCCTAGTCGACTGGTCCCTCTGAATGAGTGAAAAACAGAATCTAACCCTTCTTCCCCATGTCTCAGATGCTCCCTACTAGGAAGAGAACCTGTAAGAGAGGAGATAACCTTCAAGTGGCATCTGGCTAGAAAGTGCGTGTTTATCCCCAAAACGAACCCAGAGGAAGTTCCAGCACTTCTTGTCAAAGACATCGCAGTGGTATCTGTGCTGTGTAGCTCGCTACGGCACTGTGATTCCCCTTGGCTTGCTGGAGCAGCTTCCTGTAAGCCCCGTGTAGATGGGGACTTTGATGGCAAGCCAAAGGTGATGTTTGAAGAGATCAGGGTTCTCTGCCACAACCAGTTTCTCTCCTCCCTAAAAACCCTTGCAATTCATGAAGTTAGGTTCATGGCTAAACTGTACAATAGGCCCGAACTCTCAATGTTACCTTACACTGCCCAAAACTAACTTGGTGTCTCAGATGTCTGAGGGTCAGCAAATTTGTGTGGGCTGAAGAATGCCACAATGAGAATCAGGCTTTCCAGTCATTGCACCTCATCCAAAATCAGCTCCCTTAGCTATTTATCTGTTTCTAGCATCCTTTAAAGTTCTGGCTTTAAAGCCCTCCAGCTCAAGGCCCCTCCAGCTGTGTTGGGACTACAACTTCCAGATGCCCAGCCAGCCTAGCCCCAAACCCCATTGGCTGAGAATCCTGAGAGAGATTTCCCAGGCACCAGGAATCTGGTAGCTCCTTTTCCAGCTCACAAACTTCATTAACATTTCATTAAGAGGCAGACGCTTTTGTGAGTGGCAGCTTCTGCCTTTTAATAAAATTTTGTGGGTTGGAAAAGGTGCTACCAGCCTCTTCCTGATGTTTTTTTTTTTTTTTTTTCTCAGCATAGACCAGTGTTTCTCAACCTTGGCAGTTTTAAAACGTGTGGACTTCAACTCCCAGAATTCCCCAGCCACCAGGATAGACCAACACGGCTCTTCTCCTACCGTTCCCAAAACACCAGGAGTGCACAGATTGGGGAGAACTGCCCATGTGTTTGGGTGCCCCGTTCTTCAGACCTTCAGCAACGTTTGAGGGGCTGGATCCTGCTGGAAGTCTTCCAGGGAAAAGGAGACATTGTACTGGTTTCTAGCCCCCAAAATATTTCCTTTGATCAGGTCAGCACTGGGATGACCTTAAGCCTTATTTTGTAACTCTTATTTCATACTATTGCACGCTCCACCCGCCCCGCTTCTCCCAGTCTCGGATCCTGCTTTAGACTTTCCTCTGTGACACATTGTACAGCACTCTCGTCTGCTGCACGCAATAGCCATCGCCTTACTGAACACCTGCAAACATTTAAAATGTGGCTCTCCCTCCCAGCGTCTTCTGGAGATGATTTGCTGTTTAGATTTCAAATGCCACGATAATCCTGCTTTAAAGGATAAGTGTAATGGAACAGATGCTACTTCCACAGCTTGGTTCCTGTAAAAATTACCTCATTGACTTTTGCTTTGCTGTTGAAAAATAGTCCGACGCCTCTACTTTATTTTCAAAACATCTTGTTCCTCAGGGTTCGAGAAACCTCATTCAGCCAGGCGTTCAAAAGCAATTATTGTGCTGAATTTGAAAGACGGTGCAATTAGCAAGCGGTTCACCAGGCCCGTGCCAAGAGCTGAGCTTTCGCTCGGGAAATGGCCGTAGCTGCCTGACCGTGTCTGGACTCGGAAAGGAAGGAGGGCTGGGTTTGAAGTCCTGGGCCTGTAGCCTCAACAGGAATTTGAGGAGCTGCGTCATGGAAGAAAGCAGAAGGAAAGCCCTTCTGGGCCCTTTCTGCAAGGACACGACACAAAGTCACCTGGAGCTCGGCTCGAAGGAGATTTTATCTCCGCAGCAGCGCCTCTTTTCAGCAGATTCATTAGGCAACGGGATTAGATGCCCAGAGGGCAGGTCCTGTGGAGCTCAGGCACAAAGACACATTCATGGATCTCGTCGAGCAACAAGCTGCTGCTGAACAGCGGTTTGCCAGCTGTCACTGCCAGTGCGGGTGTCCTCCAACAAGGGCTGGGCAATGTCTCCTTCGGCTGACTGACGGCACAAGCCCCTGCAGGTCTGCTCAGAAGTGACTTGGAAGGCTTGAGCCCAGGTTAGGAAACCCTCGAAGAGAATAAACAAAGCAAGCTGA